CTTTGATTCTACTGGCATAATTTCGCTTATTTTCATATGTCTTCTTGGCAAATGAATTGGGTTTTATCGCAATTGACAAGATTGATATTTTAGTGTGATTGTCATTGTAAGTTGTTTTGATAATTTTAAAGCCAGTAAATGAGTTATTCTTGATGTCATGCCAAGAGGGTTTTCACATTCTGTTGGAATATATTTTGACCAAGCCTTGCTCTCATCAACCGGCTAAAAAGTGATTCTGACCCTAAAAATCAAGTTTCTTAGCACTATATTACTACCCAGCTGCATAGTCCTTCGAACTGAATAAAAGAGTATATACTGTTTTCAAGGAAGGATGGGCTTCTCCCAATTATCTCCTGCACATTTAATAGACATTAATTTTTTTAAAATTCGTTATATTAAATCGTAGATATGAAGACTAAGATGGTCGCAGTCGTTTATATTAGATTCGAATGGGATGCTTGGGCCTATATCCACCTTGCTAAAGACCTTTGTTAGAAATACATTAGGACAAGTTTTATTTAGCCGCTTATAGTCAATTATATTAAACATACTAAAGAGGTTAAAAAACCCTGATTTTAATATCGTGCTTTTTTAGCTAGCAAAGCTATTATTTGTCATCAATAAATTCTCCGATTAATAGCTTGCATTATTTTAATTTTATTTAAATAATTTGTCCATTTTATGTTTTGATAAGCTTCCTTTTATCTCCATTCTCATAATTTGATAAGCTTATTTATAATATTCCATTGCGACTGTCGCTTCCATTCATTTCTCGCGCTTAATGTCATTTTTTATCTTGCCTCAAATTCGTACATTTAGGAATTTAAAACCTATTTGCAGCTAAACTTGCTCCTTAGCTAATTTAGGTGTCTTTTAAGATATTCTTCGTTTTATCGTCAACTTCAGTCCTCATTTACTCCTCAATCATAAATATAAGGTTATTTGATTTTTCTGTGAATATTTTCCATGTTGTGCATTTCACTCTCTTGCTTTTCCATTCACTCTCATTTCCTTTTCTTTTCTAGGCTTTAACGAATACGTGTATTGGTCATGACGGACTGGATCTTGCTGAATCTGACTCTCGACCTGGTCGACACGCTCTCTTCACTGGGAACAGTATCCACGTGGTTAATCCAGCTCTTCAGTCGATGGCCTCTTTGTTCGACCCAGCTGGAGACTTAGCTGGTGGCGGCACCTCTGGCTTTGGCCTCACTGGTGGTGTTTTACCGCCACACGCCAGTTGCTCCTTTCTCAAGGCCCAGGCTGGCAAGACTAGGGTATCAAATGCTAGTTATGTTGACGCAGCTGGCGGAATTTTAATGGGTAGGCCAGATAACTGTCTACCAGGTGTACGCTTATCTTTATCCGTTTATTTAGTGGGCGATATTACTGACAATACCTTTTTTATTTATTGCTGAAGTTCCAGGGTTCGAATGATAAAGATCTTATTTTCAAACGACAGTTTTGATAACATTTTGAGCCATTATTTCTTGAATTCATTATAATTAATTGCATATACTGGCTTACTCAGCTTTTTCCCAATAATTTTCATGTTCTAAGCTTGCGTACGAGCCAAGTATGTGTTTGAATCCTCTAGATAACCATAAATAAGGACTTTATATCCAATAAAACTTTGCTAAACGCTATTGTCTGACAGAACTTCATTTCCTTTCAGCCGCATGTAGTCCTATATTTTATATTTGTAATCTAACTATATCTGCTTCACTATAGGCCCAGTTTTAATACCATTACGTTTATTATTAGCTCTCATTTTGAGCTTCACTTTAGCTTTTTTTGTTGTTTTTATAAACTTATTTTAGTACTAAATGTTTTTTCATACAAGCAAGCCATTTACTATCAATTGTTTATAGCTGTTTCCGATCCTTTTTATTCAAGCCTACTGAGTTGCTTGTAATTTCTGAAGTTATTATCGCTATTGATATTGTCACTGTTAAATTATCATTTGTTAAAGCTACATGCTATTTTTGTGCCTCATGATCAACATATTTATTATAGAGTATTTTAGGGCAAAAACGTATATTGCCCTTTACTTCCAATTCAACATATTCAATCGTATTGATCTCTATTTGAAAGTGTCCTTCCGGAGAACTTGAAAGGAGACGTGCTGGCGCTGGTTTGTTGTAGATACATCTGTGATGTTTTTTGGATGATGGGGTTGTTCCTGGGGTCTACGCCAAGTTGGTGGCCTCAAGAAATCGAACTAGAGCATGGTGTTTGGTAAATTGATAATGATGGAAGTCCCTTTAAGGAGCCTTTTAAATTAAGGTCAATTTGTAATTTTTAGTACCTTATGCTTTGATGGCTGTCTTGTTTGCTGCAGAGCAGCTAATAAACCTCAGTGTCTTTTTGGTCGCCAGTTCTGTGGCCTAAATTTAAGTACCTTTTTCTTTGAGCTACAATCTACATATACCTAATCTGATCGGAGCAAGGAGACCGAAGAGAACAGAATAATATACAAATTAGAACTCGGCATGCGGACTTTGCATAAGGAACTGAGCGTAAAAGAGGAAGGGTTCTTACCAAGCAGAATAAGATGTCCTCCGTCCTGTCACTATGGTCTTCTTGCTTTATCAATTTCCTGTTTTTGCGTGTGTTAACTTCTTATTAACCCTTGGATGATGCCCTGGATTGATTTTATCATTTAGGCAGAGCCTGTGGGAAACTCGTGTGTTCAAGTCAAGGTTATTAAGTCACGCCTAAATCAGTCGTGTCATAATAAAGTGTTGTGGGCAACATTCTATGTCTTGTAACTGAGAAAATCGATATAATGAGAAAATATTTAGATGAGTCACTAGACGTTTTATCGGATGGTTAGATTCAAACTGGGTCTCTCCACTATCAGCCAGAAAATGCTTATCAGCATCCTTCTTTAGAGATGAATAAATCTAGTTAAGGGTTGTTTTCTCCCCATATATTGTCCCTATATTTAAAACCTACCAATAGTATTACAGGTTATTTGCTAACCCGGATACTAATTATCACTTAATTCTTTATGTTCCGTTTATATACCGTAATAACGATTCTTATCCTATCAAAATCTTTTTCTACCAAATCACTTGGATGACTACTGCCTTCAGTGACTTTGGTGAGCCTTTCTGGTTCTTCTTTTCGTTATTACTCATCTGAACTTTGTAAGATGATCTTTTAATTGCTTGAATAAAACGGCAAGATTAAATCAAAGTCTTCGGAAGTACACGTTATAAAGCATATATAATATTTATGATAGTTTGGCTGTTGATGCTATATGCAAGTAGACAGTTAAATCTTTTTTTATTTAGTTATTTTGGCATAAAACTAGTCGTAGTACCATCAATGATCCTCAGATTTTGTTCGAATTTTAGCTGTGACTTGCTATTCAGTGGAGAAGGCCACATAAAGCCTGGAGGGTTGTAGCTTATCTCTGATTCACCCCAGTCTTCGAATCTCAAATTTTCTAACTAGCTCAGCATAGTTGAATTTGGGGACGGCGATCAAACTATCAGCCCTGCTAAGGTATTATAAATGATCTTCAATATTCCACTCTAGCTTCTTCCTACAGAGTTTATAAATAAATAAAAGCAATTTATTTTGGGAAAAAGTTGTTTCTTATGCCTAATAAATTAAATTACATCATGTTAGCTGAATTTGCTGTTTTATCATATGCATTATTTCAGCAAAATTCCTTGTAGAATTTGTTCGATTTTATTTAGCAAGCTTGTCATTAATGCAAGAAGATTTTAAAGTAAGTATCCTTTACTGTATTTTCATCCATTGCAGTCATCTTATTTTGCTTGTTTATATGCTCAGCCATTCTTTTAATCTCTTCATAAATTCATGTATAGCAGCATATTGTAGCATGCGGTAAGTGATTAGGTCACCAACTGCAATACCGATTAACTGTCTTAGGTAGCTTCTTTGAGGTCTCTTTAATGCGGTCAAATTCCTAAAACTGGGCTGAAACAAGCCCTTTACAATGGTAGGACGGTGTTTTAACACATTGTTGCGATCAAATATAAGGCTAGAATTTTTTGATTCTTGCTTTTTTCACTATCTTTTTCTTTACTTTAAAGCATGCCTCAAGTCTAATATATCATTAGAAAATTCATCCGTAATATTTATAATCGAACCAACTGCTTAAGACTTTTTAATGGCTATATTCTAGTGCTTCACTGTAAACTCTGGGGTTTTTAACTCTTAACTTTTTTTATTCCTTAGGTCTTCTCTATCGACCCACTATTCGTCCAGGCATTCGTGATCCTAGACGACATGCACACTCTAATGTGACCTCCTCAGCTGGCTCCTGTATTCAGACTTTTGCCACTCAAACCTCCTGCACTTTGTCTGATGGAACACTTGCCATCGTCTCACCACCAAAACTTAGCACCTTTTCTACTTTTGAATCAGGAAACACCCCTGCGTTCGTTTCTGCAGAGAACTTGCTTTGGTGCTGTGTGTTCTGTGCTGGTGACCGTCACTGTCTAGATCTCGGCAGTCTCTATGGACCATACTTTCTAGGCCCTGAAGAGGTAATTGCATTGGCCGCCGAAGGTTTTGTTCAGACTCCAAGCGAAGCGAGAGATGCCACTTCTAGTGTTTTAGCAACTGTAACCAATTCCATTGTAAGTGTAAAGGAGCTACTACCTGATTCTTCGCAGGAGTCGAAGAAGATGGCCGGCCAAATTGGCAGGACGGGTCGCCGATCGATAGCTCTTGCTTATCAGAGGCGAGTTGAAAAGAAGACAGGGTCGGGTGACGCTCAAGGAATCGCCAACCTCCGTAGCCGCTCTCTTCAGTCCGCTAAATCATCTGCATCGGCCTTCGCAAATAAAGCAGCTGCTGCCAGATCAGCGTCCGCACGTGCGAAACGATTTCTTACTGGACCAGGACATACACCCAGGCAGGATCGGCCTTCTAGCCCCAACAACCTGGGTTCGAGCAGAGGCGCCATCAGGGATCCTTGCAGACAACGGACCAAGGGCATAGCTTCTCGACGGCCAGCAAAATCAGAGCGAAGTGTTGGTCCAGAGTTGGTAGATGGTGCGTATTTTATATTTTTGCATAACCACATAGTTGTTTTCCTCTGCTTCATCCCTAGTTGCTCGCATATTTTTCGAAATTCTTCATAACTTTGATTTTTTTTCTTCCTCGTTTACGATTGACTACCGATCGCGACTTAAATTCCTTGAAAATGGACAGAGTTTTGTGCCTTGAGATATACTAAAACGTATTTTATTAAACCATGGTCAAGCATTATTTCATAACTTAAGAAGAGCAATATAAGATTTTTTGGCCATCTTATGGAACATACGGTCTCAGTGAATTTGTAAAGCAAGTCATATTTACGAAATTTTAAAAGCCACTCGTAACTGGCGAAAAATAGCAGGGAAAAATGGAGTAAAATGAATGGATCAGTTTTGTATTTTCCACACCGATAAATCTATGTGTCTTATCTCATGTATTTATCATCACAAGAGCTTCACTTTTGTTACAATTGCGTTTTGGACACAGACAGATTTCGAATTTTTTTAGCCATTGCTTCATTGATAACAAATATCACCATGAACAGAAATCTCGCCTCAACATATAACGCCATTTTTGGGGCAAAAAATAATTATTTTTTTTAAGAGTCTAATTCTTACGTCTTATAGTATCTATTTATGGAAGTGTAACTCCATGAAAAGTTATCACTAATCAGTTTAGGCAAATTGCACCATATTTAGTCATTTAGTTAGTAATAGCGTATTTGTTATTTATGGACCTCAAAAATCTTTAGGCCGGTAATATAATTGATTCCTTTCCTAATGGCCCTATGACTAACATCATAGCTTGCCAGTATGATTAATACCGCCTTTTTTATTAGCTACATCCATATGTAGATATTCTGTTGAGCTGATGTTTTTTTTTATGAATTTTGATTAGCTAAGTGTTGCTTATTAGGGTCCTCTTAATAAAGTTAATTTCTACAATACTTCTGTTAACAACGCAAATGCTGTGCATCTAATGACTACATAGTCTCGGCACAGAGCTCACTAAGTACAAAAGTTGATTCTGTCCAGATGGACCGCCAGTATAGTTCACTTCCTAATGTGGTGAGATCATCAAAAATAAATGTCTCAACGACTAACTCCAACTGCATAGAGTGCTTCAAAGTTTGTCTTTCGTTTGTTCAAATTGATGGATATTATCATCATCAAAGTAGTGACAATACATATTGACTATTACAGTCATTCAATTTCAGCTTATATATGCGCTGTGAATAATTCAGCTTGAGTTGATAGTTCCATTTGATGGAAACTTTTTCTCCCATTGGAAATAGCCTCATTATAATTTCGAATGGAATATCTCTTAAAGAGAGCAATTCGATTAATCTTTAACCTATGGCTGCTTTTTATAACACTTTTTATTGTTCTATACATTTGTTTTCTTATGAACCATCGTCCTTGTTCTATTATATGATCATCATTGACACTCTAAAATCCATCCCGTCATGACAACCTTTACAGCATCACTTACAATCAACTATGTTATGTTATACAAAACTATATAGCAGATTAAAAAAATTCATCTAGAACATATGGCATAGTTTTATTCCTATTTGGCATTATATTTTAGCTCTATATTAGCATCATAACAGCACCATATTTTGTTCT